GTCCAATGAACAGCTTGAAATGGTACAAAGGTTAGTGCCAGAAGTTCACAAAGGTGAGGTAAGCTGTTCTGCAGTAATGGAGCTGCTGCTACAGGTACAGACGTCTCTGTCTGCATTAAAGCAGCGCTGCACACACTGTGGTACCCTCGTCAGCATCAGCTGAACAGGATTCTACTGCAGAAAGTAGAGACAGACCATCATATAACATTATATCATATCGTGTGGAATATGACGAGAATACATTTGGACGTGATGTGAAAATGTCACATAGAGCTGTCACCGCATGTGTTTACATTCCCTAATGCGAGACAGAGCTGCACGTCAGCCTCCGATAATCATTCCAACAACCTCATTTGCAAAATATTGTTCCTCCTGAAGGTGGAGAGAAGGCTGCAGCACAGCTGAGCAGACTCACTGGGAGGAGATCCCAGCAGCTGCTGATGTGCCGCACAAACAAATGACTCCTCAGAGTGTCACTACAGCGCTAGCTAGCTGCACTCGCTAGCTGCACTCGCTAGCTGCACTCGCTAGCTGCACTCGCTAGCTGCACTCCATATGACAGGAAGTGAAACGAGGGATGGAAATTAATGATGCAGTTACATATAATGGAAAAGCAGCTGCTTCAAAAGTTGGACCTGAGATTTAACAAAGACACAACTTCCCACATGAGCTTTATAATGTGACACGAACTCTGAGCGACTTCAGTTACTGTTAAACTAAAGTGTTCAGCAGTCACTTTGTACTCGTGTCACCGCTGTGGCGCCACTGTTAAACTATACTGAGTGTGTGACCAGTGACAGCAGCTAACTGGGAAATCTGGTTTCTGCATTTACTTAATGCTGCGGCCGACAAGCTGCAGGCACCACAGAGGCTTTTTCTGTCTTCACAGATACTGTTCCTGCATATTTTGCGTATATCGCCCACCCCTCGTGTGCTGTATGTGACCGCCTCTGCAGAAGAGCATCGGGCGATCCATCAGCTGGTTGGCCGGCGCCGACACCTGCTGATCTGCCGCGACTGCGTTTGACTTTGTGACCTGCATAAAGCAATTATGTGCTTGACTTTCTGTTCTCATGCTCTGATCTTCCATCAAAAGCACCAAGTGTCAACGGCACGATCTCCACAGCATTCAACAAACAGACCTTCACACATGCAGTGAACTGTTGCTGTGCATTAAACTGAAGAGCCTGCAAATATGACTGAATCGTTCTACTTTGGGCAGATTCTATTTTTTACACAATCGCTCTCAGTCTCCGAGTGAACTTGGAACCAGTTCACCGTCAAGGGAGCAATCTGCTGTGTAATTATGCATTATATCATTTGGTAACCATGGTAACAGGGATGTAGGCGTTCTCCCTGATACCAGAAAGGGGTTAAAAGAAAGGAAAACAGGTGTTGTGTAACTAACACCCTCCAATGCTGCAGGTGGGCGTGCTTAACCCCAACACGACGTCCCAGTAACTGAGCTGCAGAGAGCATCGTTTCCACCTGTGGGATAAACCCTGAGTCTTCATATTAGTCTTCCTACCTGCTCGTGTTTAAACACAGGTGTGGTGAGCTGATGTCCTGCTCCATAAATCCATGCATTCCTCCAGATTCTTTTTCTACCCATCCACCTTCAAATCTATAACACCCTGCTATCATGTCTACCGCTGTGGCTGACACCGCCTCCTTCAAACACCCATCCTCCCCACGCGGCCGTCCTTCAGACTCCTGATTGACTCAAATTAAGTTTCACAGCAGATACAGGTTTCGGTTACGTGTGAGCGAGATGCATGAAACAAACACAAACACATAATGCAGCGTAGAACAGGAAATCAAAGCGATGTGGATGCATAAGAATGGGCCTCGTGTACTAACAGTGCCTACACACACACAGCCGTGTGCAAATCACGAGAACATTCATGGAAAAATCTGGGAGTTATCCAGATTTTCCTACCTGTAAATGCAGACGTCCCTCTGACCATGGATACAACTAGACTTTAAAGACTTCCTCCCACTACTAACAATCATTTTTGTCCTATTTATGCTGCAACAATGTCCTTGTTCTGACTTCTTCCTTGGACGTCAGACGCTATCATTTAATTTTCTATAGCCAGACTTCCTCCTTATTTTCGCCTGGATGGTGCAGATTTCTCTCTCACAACACTGTCGCTACTTTCTTTACGTCACTTGGGGGGGAAACATGTTTCCTTTCATAGAAGAAATCAGGGCAGTATGCACATAGTTTGCAAACTGAGTCTAAAAGGCTGCTGAATAATTCGGATTTACCAACATATTGGTGCAGGCTGGTGAGAAATAACGTTACACACGTTTCATAAATCTGATGATAGCAACTCATTTTTCCAAAACCCGGAAAAAAAAATCCAGACTTTCCAGTATCTGAACTCTGTGTCAGACCTTTTCCCTCCGTTCTCATCAGTGATGACACTTGAAAGCTACAGACAAACAAGCATCCACCCATACATCTTAAATCTAACTTATGTTTGTGGGAAGCTGCAAATAGGGATGTGCACGCTGGTCAGCAATAAACCCAAGAGCCACACAAACACCCACGTTACAGCCAGTTTCATTTCATTTGTTAAACAATTGGTACTTAATGAGTAATTAGCTTTGGGCTGTGGGAGA